GTGCTGATTGCAAACGTCGCACGCGACGCGTCGACAATTTGATAAAATTATTGCGATACCACAGTGTGTTACCACGGCACGGCACTCGCTCCATTTACGATGTAAAGAAAAACTTTGGGAAATGCCGCATGAATTGACTGTCGTCCAACAGAGAGGAAAAACGCAACACAAATCGTGATTGCGTGTTTGTGAGAGATTATACATAATATATGTTTGCTCTATGTGTTTTTTGTGTTAATTTCGCTCTGAATATTAATTGAAAATACATGTTTTTGGAATGATTCATTTGGGAATGATTGTGACATCTGAGTCAGAATGAGTGAATTATTTTCGGCGACAATTATCAACAATTCAACAGACGTAACTAAGGAATTTCACAACGGAATGGGGTTTGCCTGGAAATGATGACAAAATCGTTATTCGAGGGAACACTGTGAATCATTTCAAACTTGTGTTGGCGTACATGACTCATCCAAATTCATATGCAGCCACAAATTCATGCAATGAAGGCGCGTTCTAATGTGACAATCTTAATCGCCACAAGCGATAATTTGCATCAACATATGTTGATGTTGGACGGAGCAATGGAACTTTTCAAATTTTATCGAGATTCAACAAGTGTTTTCAGTATGACATACTTTGAGCAATGATGAAGGTGGTTAAGAATGTTGCATTTGAAGTGAAATCAACACAAGCTCTGAATAAATCGTATGGAACCTATCCAATTCTAAATGAAATTGAACATTTGTTGGAAATCAAGTGAGAATCATTTATTACAAAAATACTCCATGCAAAAATTTACACTTTAATTGAAGTGTTAGTTTAAATCTATCAAAATTACCCGCATATCAATAAAATAAAATAAAATAGAAATCTAGTGAAAAATCCGAGGAATATTGCGTAAAACGTATGATTCACAGTACATAACTTAATTTGCACATACGACATATCGCTCAAAATTGGCTGGAAGTCTTGTTTCATCGTCATGAAGCTGCCATTAAATTTGAAGCTGCCAGAATGGTTTTCCATCTGTGAAAGGAGTTACAGCGCTATATGTGGTCAGAAAAGTCATTCTTTGAAATTTTCTTCGTTTGTTCTATGCTAGGTGACAAGGTGTCATTTTTGATAATAACTCAATTTGCATTTCTTGTTTCATCGTCATGAAGCTGCCCATAGATTTAGTGCCACAATACATTTCAAATGTAAGTCATTTGACACATAGCAGTCAATGTCATCTCAATTCCAATTCATTGAATCATTGAATTTTTCGGCAACTTTTTTCAATCGTGTATGGCTTTACTAGAATATAATCAACTTTACGACGACGCTAACAGCTTCTCTGTGGGCCGTTACTACGTATTGATGTTTTGCAATGGTTACTCGATGCATTTGCCAAAATACTATGATTTTCAGTGGTGTGTGACTATGAAACAAGATCATATATGAAAAATCGGTCAGGCAGGATCGGAAGCAATTGCAATTATAGTGCGCCCCCGCAAATTAGAAACCCGAGAATTAGAAAACCTCAGAAATTAGAAATGAATTTCAGGTTTGAAAATTTGTATGGAAAATTTCTAATTTCCGGGGTTCATTTCTAATTTACGGCGTTTCCGAATCATTTCATTCAAAACAAAGGGAAATTTACTTCAATTTTAATGAAAAAACGTAATGAAAGTCTTTTCCATTTCGTTGAATAACTATATTAGCAGATCAGCTTGAGATTTTCGACGTAGGTACACTAGCCTGCTCCAAAAAAAAGTTGTCCCTCATCCCAAAGGCCCGGGCAGTTTCGAAAAATATACCTCAAAAAAATAGGTTTTGTCCAAAAAAATCACATGGGTACCATATAAAAACCCATGGCAAGCCCCATATCAAAATTTTCATGACAGCGATTTCGGAAGCCAATTCATATCGCAACATTTCGACCTAAATCATTTTTCCAGTCAATTCTCGGCAAAAACTAATGATGAGGTTTTGTTTGGCTCGTCAATATCTACAACTTTTACCAAGACATCAGGCCTTGAAAAGGCATTCTGAACCAGTTACAGTGTAAAATGACGAAAAAAAGGCAATTTTTCGGCATTTTTTGCATTTTTTGCTCTTTTGGTCACCCAGGTGGTGGACTTTTGTTCAATTTTGGACTTGTGTCGTGTAGTTAGAACCTGTATAAATATTTTGGTACTTGTCAGATTGCGATTTGGATGGAGTTTGGCGACAATTGATTCACATTTAAAAGACAAATTTCAGGCCAAAATGAGCAAATCACAAACATGAGCTTCGATTTGACAGATAAAAGCAAACGATTTCTACCTCTTCTGCCTTTGAACATCTAGTATGATCCCTTACGAACATTTTAAGTACCCACATGACTAAATCGAGTTATGTTTTCACATATTTGGCGTCTTGGCGCAAAGTTATTTATTCTCGAAAATAAGGGGAGTTTTCCCAGACAAAAGCTCTTAAAATTGGCTTTTTGCGGTACCTCCCGAACAAAAGTTACGTTTTACATGCATTTTGCTACGAAAATATCAATTTTTGTTCGGGAGGTACCCCAAAAATCATTCATAACAGCTTCTGTATAAATAGATTCCCAATATTTCTCGAAAAAAATAATCAAGCCTAAGAAGTCGGCTGATCCACGAATTTTTTCTATCCAATCATCAGAGAATTCCGGAAGTCTTGATCTTAATTGACCCCCTTTTTCACTATTCTTTGCAATTTGATAGATCATAACTGACGGATAACCACCTTTTGAGCTGAAAATCGGATGAGCAACCCAACCAAGCTACATATTTGCATTTTTCATTAATAAAAAATCAGCAAAGTTTTATCACACTTTATCGTCTTCAGAAAAAGGAGTTACTCTCCAACTCACCGAAAATTGTAACGCTCTATCCACTGTTACCATGTCATTTGTGTCTGAATAAAAGAATGGAGAATCCAAAGAAATACCAACGTGTCCTTTGAACAGGTTATAATATTTGCTCTTGTATAAACGATAAGCAACGGCATACAGGTGGGCGTTTTGCGATTACTTACTGCAACAGCTGGGTGGTTTTTGCCAGACTCATTTTTGTTCAACATTTGTTAGGTCTGGCCAAAATTAACATGTTTCTTGTATGAAACTTTTTCTTTCGATGTGATTAATTAATCAATTGCACAATCACTTAATCATGATTAATAGCGATTAAGTGATTAAGTGGTCGTATTAATCATCGCGAATCTCGGGTGTTTGATTATGATTAATTAATCTTAATCAGAAAGTCCGCCCATCTGTACAACGGCATGTGATTTCAAGGCATTGTGAGCGCATAAATATTCACCAATGCCATGAGCATTTATTCCTGGTGCATGATTACTGCTGCCATAACTCTGTACACAAAATTCCGCTGGCTGGTTGATGGTAATCCAATATTTCACACGATCGCCAAAGCGTTGGTATAACAAATTGGCATATTCTCAAGGGGGTAGACGCAGTTTTTTAACGTACAAGTTTTGAAGAATTTGTCTCATTTTGCACCGAGTAGTTCCGAGTACATCCATGCATTTTAAATGTAAACTCGAAACTACTCAAAACACTCAGTTGACTTTGACTCTGTGTATACTACACATTACACTGAACCAAATGGCGCCGAGTAGCACCGAGTAGATTCTAGTATCACCGAGTGTTTGTTGAGTATGAATTTGTGTCTAACCCTGTGCATATTCTTCAAAGTATTTTACTATGATTGAGTTTGTGAAACCGCCCAGCTGTTGCAGTTTTTGCGGCAGATCAAAATGTTGCATGGTTACCATTGGTTCTATTCCATTCTCAATGAGTTTATTGATCAATTTGTTGT